TCACACCTGCCTTTGCCTCAGGTAACAGGCCCATGGGCCTTGCTCCAATCCCTCTCAGCCATGGTTCAGAAGCAGTCCTGCCCACACAAGAAACCCAGCAGGAGACCTCTACACACGCCCCTGGAGGGCATAACTATAAAAAAAAAAAAAGCAATTAATCAATAAATCCCATTTACAAAATTATCAAAAATAATAAAATACTTAAGAATAAATCTATCCAAAGAAATGAAAGACCTGCACACTGAAAACTATAAAACACTGATGAAAGAAATTGAAGAAGACACAAATAAATAGAAAATAAATACCTTGTGTTCATGGATTGGAAGAATTAATATCGTAAGGTGCCCATACTACCAAAGCAATCTACAGATTAAATGTAATCCTTATTAAGATTCCAATGGCTTTTTTCATAGAAATAGAGAAAATAATCCTAAAATTCATATGGAACCACAAAAATCTCCAATGAGCCCAAGCCATCTTGAGAAAGAATAAAGCTGAAAGCGTCACATTTCTTGACACAGTGGGAAAAGGCTAGTCTCTTCAATAATGTTACTTGGAAAACTGGGTATCTACATGCATCAAAATAAAATTGGATACTTATCTTATACCATACCAAAAAACATCAACTCAAAACTGATTAGTGACTTAAACAGAAGACCTAAAACCATAAAGCTCCGATCAAAAAACATAGGGAAAATCTTCATGACATTGGAAATGATTTTGTGGATTAAAAAAAAATTTTTTTTTAATGCTTATTTATTTTTGAGAGAGGAAGACAGAAAATCCCAAGCAGGCTCCAGATTCTGAGCTGTCAGCACAGAGCCTGATGCAGGGCTCGAACTCATGAACGGTGAGATCATGACCTGAGCTGAACTCAGGCACTTAACTGACTGAGCCACGCAGGCAACCCTGAATTTTTGGGTTTGACTCCAAAAGCACAGGTAACAAAAGTAAAAGTAAGTAGACCACATCAAACTAAAATGTCTCTGCACAACAGAATGAAGAGGCAACCTCCAGAAGGAGAGAAAATATTTGAAAACTATACATCTGATAAGAAGTTAATATCCAAAATATGTAAAGAACTCATACAGCTCGGTAGCAAAAAATCCAAATAATCCATTTAAATAATGGGCAAAGGACCTGAGCTGACATTTTCCCAAAGACGACATGCAATGGTCCATAGTTATATGAAGAGGTATACAACATCACTAATCATCAGGGAAATGTAAATCAAAACAATGAAATATTCATTCAATCTGTTAGGATGGCTATTACACCAAAGACAAGACAGAGAACAAGTGTTTACAAGGACGTAAAGAAAGGGGGTTGCTGGTACACTGCTGGTGGAGTGTGAATCAATACAACCATCATGAAGAACAGTACAGAAGCTCCCCAAAAAGTTAAAAATGAGGCTATCTTATGATCCAGCAATTCTTCCGGGTATATATCTGAAGGAAATGAAAACAGTATTTTGAAGGGATATCTGAAGTCCCTTGATCACTGCAGCATTATTCGCAATAGCCAAGATACGGAAACTACCAAAATGTTTGCCAGTGGATGAATGGATAAAGAAAATTTGGTATCTAAATATCACATGTACATATACAAGTACATGCATTTACAGTGGAATATTATCCAGTGTTAGAAAGAAGGAAATCCTCCCATTTTGGAAACTTGGATAAACCTGGAGGACGTTACGCTAAGTGAAACAAGCCAGACATAGAAAACAAATCCTCTATGATCTCATTTATATGGTGAATCTAAATTAGCTGAACTCAAAGAAAAGAGCAGAAAGGCGTTTGCCAGGGTTTGGAGGAGGAGAAGGTAGGCATGAAATGGAGAGACGTTGGTCAAAGGGTATGAACTTTCAGTTATGAGATGATTAAATTCTGGTGATCTAACATACAACATGGTGACTGTTATTATTAATACTTTATTTTATACTTGAAATTTGCTAAGAGAACTTTATCGTGTACTTGAAATTTGCTAAGACAGTAGATCTTAAGTGCTCTTATCTAGAAAAAAGATAACTATTTGAGGTGATAAGCGTGTTAAATTAACTAGATTGTGTGTTCATATATCAAATCACCACATTATATGCCTTAAATATAAGGAAATTTTATTTGTAAAAAAATTTAAGGTAAATAAATAAAAGGACCCTTCTGGTGGCGAGGAAAGAAAGAATATACATGGCTTAGGGCAGGTAGAAGTACTGTTTAGGTGTTACTTACAGAGAAGCATGTTTGTTTGGCAAGAAGAAGCTTCTCAGCAAAAGGGGAAGCCCATTTTTAAAAAGGGCGAGGGGGTGCCTGGGTGGCTCATTCGGCTGAGTGTCTGAGTCTTGATTTCAGCTCAGGTTATGACCTAAGGGTTCATGGGATTGAGCCCTGCATCGGGCCCTGCACTGATAGCATGGAGCCTGCTTGAGTTCTCTTTCTCTCTCCCTCTCTCTCTCAACGTAAATAAACATTAAAAAAAAGGAGAGAGAGGGAGAAAAAAAAGGGTGAGAAACATTAATTGCAAAGAACACAAGTTGCTTGTGAGGTCCATGGTGGGAATGGAAAGGGAGAGTTTGAGGTGAACAGGGATGATCACAAAGGAAGTATAGAATGGTGTAATCATCATACAGCTTTTGAAGAGTTTGAAAGGAAAAATAAAAATTTCAGATTTGGGTTTTAGAAATGATCCACTGGCAACTATATGGAAACAATGGAGGGAGTCAAAGGGATGATGGGAGACCAAAAGACAAGTGGGATATAAGCGTTATAGTATGTGTATTAATACTTCAAAGTATGTGTATGTGTATGTATGTTGTATTAATACGACAAAGTATCACAGGCTGAGTGGCTAAACAACAGACATTTATTTTCTCACAATTCTGGAAGCTAAAAAGTCCACGGTCAAGGTGTCAGCAGAGTTGATTTCCTCTGAGGCCTTGTTCCTTGACCTGTAGATGGCTATCTTCTCCCTGTGTCTTCACGTGGTTTTTCTTCTGTGTCCTCACCTCCTCTTCTTATAAGGATGCCAGTCATACTGGATTAGGGTTCAGCCTAATGATTTCATCTTTATTTAATTGCTTCTTTAAATTTAGACTCTGTCTCCAAATGTGGTCATGTTCTGAGATACTGGGGATTAAGACTTGACTATATGAATTTGAGGGGACACAGTCAGCCAATAGCAATGGGCAAGAAAAGATGATGGCTGAATGGGAATAGCAGAGGCCGGGATGGAAAACAGGTGCTATGGAGGCAGCCTTGGAAGGTCTTTGTAGCCGACGTGATGTGTAGGGGGCAGTGAGGAACAAGAAGATAACTAAGATATATTTTAGGATTATGGTTTGAATACTTAGGTTGAGGCCAATTTCCTGTTTCTCCGTCTTGTCATCCTCCATGCCTTTGCTTTCTAAAGTGGAATCTGAAGTCATGGATCCAGAGAGTGGATTTTTACCATAATGTGAAGAATAAAGAAGGCTTTGGGAGTTGAAAGGCTTACGGAGTTTATTACCTAGTCCAACACTTTCATTTTGGGAGTGGGCAAAAGGAGGCTCAGAGTAGTAAGGGGATAGATCCAGTCACATCCTATTAGTGCATCTGAATTTCTGCTGCACCCTTTTCACTTCTTTGGGACTATGGTCTGGAGGCATGTTGATACAACCCTCTGACACCTGCGTCCGTTTGTAGGCATAATTTCTCTAGCCAAAAACGCAGAAAAACATGTACAAGAACAGGTGGCTTCTAAGGCTTTTCTGCAGCCATTGGTGTGGTCTGGGTTAAAGTTTAAATATTATTTGGCATCTCTGTGCCTAAGTAAGCGGAGATCCAGCCTCTGATCCACTCTCCAGCTATCCTAAGGACCTCTTCTGAGGTTTGGGATGGTAGATGGTTGGAGGGAAATGAGGAAAATGATGTGAAAGTCCTTTGAGAAAGGCATTGAATGGTTAGAATCTGCCATGATGGTGAGGATTGCTGCACACTGTCTCCAGACTGTGTTCTCCAGATTATTACGTCAACAGAGGCAAGGGATAATTTTCCTCTGTAGACCTGACTGGCATTGGCCTCTGAACTAAGACTGCTAAGTGGGAACAACTCCTTCCTTAACTGCAACTCGGGATCATTACTATTTGTGCCTGGACATGCAAGTTAGGGCTGGATTTGTTACACATTTTAACCACAAGGAGGCTCACAAGTCCTTGCCTTCCGCCACACCTTCCACATTAAAGAGGTTGGTTCTGGGTGCTGCAGTAATGATTTTCCACTGGGAAGAAGCATAATGTCTAAACTCGGGCATCATGGGTTCAAAATCCTGCTACTGAACTATTAGCTCAGTGGTCAACGGTACCTGGGGCAAGTCGCTTAAACTCTCTGTGACTTGGTTTCCTCTTCTGGCAAAAAGACATAAAACTACGCTGTTAACCTCATGGAGCTAGCTGTTAGGACAAAAGGAGAGTATGTATGTAACATGCTTAGGACAAGGCCTTGCACCCATAAGTTCTCAGTAAATGTTGAGGATTTGGGGGGTTGTTTTTTTGGTTTGGGGGTACTGGTTGTTTGTGTGTGTGTGTGTTTTGTTTTGTTTTACTATTTTCCCCTTTCATTTGGGTAGGGTGGCAATGGTTGTTTCCCAGTCAGAGGGCACGCCAATCTTTGGAAAGCCAAGTGCGATTAGGGAACTGGGGTAAGGGATAAATTCCAAGAGTGAGCCCAAGAGGCAGAATCTTGGGCTAAACCTTGAGCTAAAGAGGCAAAAGAAGACCTCTGGACCAAACACACTGACCTACCTCAAGAGTCTAGGATGAGGCGTTAGATAAGAATGTGTGGCTAAGATGGAAGCTGCGTTAGCCTGGAAAACTTCCATGTTGAGGGACCTAGCAGCGCGTGGTCAGAGCCTTAGGAATTCAGAATCTAGATCCTATAAAACTGTCTTGCAGTGAGAACCAGTAATATCAGTCAAACCCTGGGACAACCTAGAGATATCAGGTTACAGAGGACTAGAGAGGCAGGACGGAAAGAGAGCTGGAATGAGCATATTTTCTTTAATGGATTATGTGAAGACCCAGCAGGTGTCTAAGGAGCTAGGGGCCATGTAGGTCCTTTACTGACTCATTATTCTGGCTGTTAAAAGTCTTACGTCAAGAGTTGGTGGATGTTGAGTTGTTCTTGCCTTAAACTGACATCTTATCTGTTGTTTCTCATAAGGGTTTAACGATATGTGCTTTCCATCAGGGATGCAGCAAATTCTTTTTGGCCCACATTTTTCTTTCTTCTTCTCATTTTCTTTGCAAGATTGCCTGCATCTGCCAATTCTACAACTGCACCTTTTGACCCATCCATCTATCAAAATAAACAAAAAGATGAATAAACAAAATACATGAAAAAGAGTAGAGACTATTCGACTACGGATGTTAGTATTATAGTAATAATGGTTAGAATGAACTACCGAAATGTAATGGCATTCTTGGGAAAATTAAGTCTGTCCATGTAGAAATGCTTAATACTGGTCGCGACATGTACAAGATAAGAGTAGTTATTGGGGCGCCTGGGTGGCGCAGTCGGTTAAGCGTCCGACTTCAGCCAGGTCACGATCTCGCGGTCCGCGGGTTCGAGCCCCGCGTCGGGCTCTGGGCTGATGGCTCGGAGCCTGGAGCCTGTTTCTGATTCTGTGTCTCCCTCTCTCTCTGCCCCTCCCCCATTCATGCTCTGTCTCTCTCTGTCCCAAAAATAAATAAAAACGTTGAAAAAAAAAAAAAAGAGTAGTTATCTCCCTTCCTTCAACCAGTTCTAACTGGACTTTATTTCTGTACTTGTGATGTTGTCACCTGTCGTTTTTCAGTCTCACCAACACTCGTTCCTCCTTGTCCCCAAATCTAGGTGCCTGCCAAGGAACGGACCTATACCTTTAATTTCCTGTTTTTGCCCCACTCTGTTCATTATTCAGTCAACAGTGCTTTGTTGAACACCAGAGCGTGTCCCAGGCACTGTTCCAAATGACGCCCTAGAACATGACCCAAATGACGCCCTAGAACAGCCCTAGACCCAATGACCCAAATGACCCAAATGACGCCCTAGAACAGGGCTTTGAACATTGAAAGATCAGTGTATATTGCCGACCTGCAGGCTGATATTCTGGATGGTGTAAAACTCTGCACTTAGATGACATTGTGGCTCAACCTTATCTGGATCTATAAAACACAGAGTACACACCCAATTTCCCCAACACCCTGGGTTCCTTTGAGAGATCATAGTATCTTGATTCCCTCTATTTGTGTTTTTCCCCAAACTCCCCTCCTGGAAGAGAATTCCCAAGTCTCTCTTTCTCACTTGGATGTTCAGAATGGAAAAATCAGAATTAAGAGGACTCTGATTCCATGAATCAATGTGCAAATTCTTTCCCCAAAATGTCTTCTGCAGCTCTAATTCCCTCCCCAAGACCAATTAGCCCTCACTAGAGTTTAAAGCAGGCTGAAACCAACTCAGTATTAGCCCAGAATTACCTTCTTTTGCTTCTAGAACAACTCAGTGATTGACAAAGATTTTCGGTTTGAAAAGCTGATCCAAGAGAGGGTGCAGCTTTTAGCAGCAATAATCCAAAAGGAAATCATGAAAATAAAAATCATAAACTTTAGGGACGTCTGGGTGGCTCAGTCAGTTAAGCATCCCACTTGGGCTCAAGTCATGATCTCACAGTTGGGGAGTTTGAGCCCTGCATAGAGCTCTCTGCTGTCAGGGCATACCCGCTTCAGATCCTCTGTCTGCCTCTCTCTCTGCCCCTCTCGCTCTTGCTTGCTTGCTTGCGTGCTCTCTCTCTGTCTCTCAAAAATAAATAAACATTATAAATACCTTTAGGGGTGCCTGGGTGGCTCAGTCGGTTAAGTGTCCGACTTGGCTCAGGTCATGATCTTGTGGTTTGTGAGTTTGAGCTTGAGCTCCGCATCCAGCTCTATGCTGACAGCTCAGAGACTGGAGCCTGCTTCGGATTCTGTGTCTCCCTCTCTCTGCCCACCACCCCCCCCCCCACCCGCCCCGCCCAAGGATAATCATTAAAGTTTTTGGTTTTTAATTTTTTTTAACATTTACTTATTTTTTAATTTTTTTTTCAACGTTTATTTTTGGGACAGAGAAAGACAGAGCATGAACGGGGGAGGGGCAGAGAGAGAGGGAGACACAGAATCGGAAACAGGCTCCAGGCTCTGAGCCATCAGCCCAGAGCCTGACGTGGGGCTCGAACTCCCGGACGGCGAAATCGTGACCTGGCTGAAGTCCGACGCTTAACCGACTGCGCCACCCAGGCGCCCCACGTTTACTTATTTTTGAGAGACAGAGAGAGCCGGTGGGGGGGGAGGGGGGGATGGATAGGGGCAGAGAGAGAGATACACAGAATCCAAAGCAGGCTCCAGGCTCTAAGCTGTCAGCACAGAGCCCCTCACGGGGCTCACACTCATGCGCTGTGAGATCATGACCTAGCCGAAGTCGGATGCTTAACCGACTGAGCCACCTAGGTGCCCCTCTCAAGGACAAACATGAAAAAACAATAAACTTTAGAATCCCCAGGAAGCTTAAGCAGAAAATATTTCCGTCAGAAAGTTATTCACTGCTCAGTCATAAAATCTATCATATTGTTAGAGCTATGGCCATGTTCAATCTGGAATCCAGAATCACCTGCCTTAACCAGCTCCACGCCTTGAGCCTGTTTTTACAAAACTCCAGATATCGGGCATCAACCTACAAATTTTTCACTATACGTGTTCTAAGACAAGAGCAAGATAGCTCTTCTGATTGCTTTAAAGGAACGTTCAAGTCCACATAACAATGGAGAAGCAAAGTAATGGGACCTGTTATCAGAGGCAGTATCAATTGAAAGTAGGTTGGAGTGAGAGACACCTGGGATGAGACCCCGTTGACATTTGGGACAAGGATATCAAGGACACCAGGGATGCTGTAGTTGCTTCTGCATACGGAGGGGACATCATATGAGAAACCTTGGGCTCCACCCATATTTGCCATCATGAAAAACACCATAATGGTCGGAAATGACAGACCACCCTTATTATGGGACGTAGTCACTATACCAAGGCTTTTCACTACATCTCAATTGTCTCTGTAGATTGTCTTCACGGCCGCACATGATCAGTTTTTCAATAATTCTATCCGTAGAACGCCATTCTCACTCCCTTTTCCCTCCTCTCCATGGTCTGGTTACCTGGGGAAGCCTAAGCCAGGAGCACAAGGACAGGTAAGGCCAGGAACAAGAGTTTAATGTATCCTGAGAGGGAAGAGGAACGATCCGGCAGCATACTGATGTGCCGGAAAAGGTTGGTCTTCACTCGGATTTTATTGTCTTGGGTACGGCTGAGTCATGGACAATAAATCAGAGAAGGGCAGAGCACCCCACCACCCATCAGCTTGTGGGTTAGCAACATAAATCGATGATCCAATGTTCAGAGCCCTTCTCGAGACATCATCTGGGAAGGCGGAAGGCATTAATTAGCAGAGGACCTAGAAGTCTGTCACGAGTCTGTGACACTGTGGAGAGAATGGACCCACTTTCCAAGAAGCCTTTCAAGCTCCTCTCCTTGGGCAATGGAGCCTCCTCCCTTATGTTCTCACAGCCTTTCTGCTTCCTTCTTTCTGCCATAATGTTTTTCATGTTGAGTTGGGACTAAGGATTTTTCTAGTTCATCTCCCCTATCAGACTGACATTGTCAAAGGCAACTTTTGACAGTGAGCCCCTGAAGGTAGGGACTGGCTATAATTTCTGTATATCCAGAGGGTCCAATGCACGTTTGTTGAAAACGATGAATTAATGAATGCATGTTGGTATTCACTCATACCCTGATAGATCTTAGAAGTGGCATTTCTCAGCTATTTAAATGCAGCCTCAGAGAATGGAAGATGTTTGCCTCGGGTCATACCGCGGGCAAGAAAAAAAAACAGACTAAGACCCTCCTAACCCAGCCCAACATCCAACTCTTTAACTATGCCTTTACTCCTTATTTCCTACTCCACATCCTTAATATTGGCTCCTTCTGCGACTTTCTTAGACTTCAGCCATCAAAGAGTACAGCAAAAATACCTACCCTCCCCCCCTCGCCAGATTCTCCAACAAAAAGGGGAGACTGCCTGGGCTCCATCAGTAAGTGTGTCTGTGAATCCATTGGGTTTTCTTTTTGGAGTCCTTAGTCTGTGGTATAGTCATTTTACACCTTTTGATGGGCCCAGGGCTCTTCCAGTCTACTCTCTTCTTCTTACAGTTGCAGGTATCAGGGACAGCCTGGTGGATATCAGGAGACCTGTTTTGCCCTTGATATCCAAGTAGTCCCTTCTCCAGGAAAAGCAGTGAGCGTGAAGCCATCCACTGAAGCCTTACTGTCTTTCAGTAGCCATCGTAAGCACTTTCCATACATGGGCCCCTAGAATCCTCACAGGATCCCGACAGGCAAATGTAATTTGCCCAGGGTTACACAGTGCTTAGGACTGAGGTCTGGATTCGGGTCTGGCTTACTTGTTTCAAGAGCACATGTTCTTTCTATTACCCTGGGGGGATTGTGCCTGAATAACGATGGAAGGAGGGATCTATTAACCTGGAAAGCAGTGATGGGTGGATGAGAGGTAGGGTCACTATCTTCTGAAAGACATGTTCTATGCAGGCCTAGAGGGCAGAACCAGAAGTCTTGGCTGGAAACAGCAGCGGGGCAGGTTTTCACTAATTGGACAGACCTCTGATGATTAGAACCACCTGAAACTGGCTGGACTGTCTGGGAGATGGGGTGGTTCCTGGTGTCCAAATGCTACATATGGAGTCTGCCTGACCACTGCTCTCAGGTCCTGCAGGGAGGACTGGTGAACTGGCTGGTGTGAATCTCTGTACTAGACAGAGTTCCGAGAGAAGAAGAAAGCAAATTCTTGCATTCTGATGGGGGTGGGAGACAACAAATATGTGACACTACAGCCTGTAGATAATATGGCAGGTTGTTAAGTTTGTAAGAAGATATGCAAATGACTAAAGTTTGGACTAGGAAATTGATAAAGACCATTCTCTGCAATAGAACTCAAGCTCAGAAAGGTCAACTGACTTTCTTAAGGCCACACAGTTGGTAAGCCATAAAGTCCCAAATGACTCCAAATCCATTGCTCCTTGCAACCAGGGGAAAATGTCTCACCAAACACATACATCTTCTGGCTATAACTGTCTTCGTTTTTTAGTTTAATGTAAATCTTATCTTGAAATTATTATAGATTAAGAAGGAGTTGCAAAGACAGTAGAGAAATCTTGTGTAGCCTTTGCATAGTTTCTCCAAATGTTGTTTTGAATAACTACAGCACAACGTCAAAACAAGGAAACTGACATTGGTGCAATGTTTATGTATATTTCTATGTCATTCTATCACAGGCATTGTTCAGTGTAAGCAATCAATATGCAGAACTATTCAATCACCACAAAGATCTTCCTTGTGCTACCTAGCTCCCAACTTCCCCAACATCCCTAACCCATGGCAACTAACAAGATATTCTCCATTGTTCTAATTTTGTCATTTTGAGAATGTTATATACATGGAATCATACAGTACGCAACCTTGTGAGATCACTGCATCTATCAATAGTTGTTTCTTCTGTCACTGTGTAGTATTCCATGGTACGGATGTACTACAGTTATAGAACATTTGGCTGTTTACAGATTTTGGTTATTACAAACAAAGCTGATATAAATATTTGTGTACAGATTTTTCTGTGGACAAAAGTTTTCATTTCTCTGGATAAATGCCTAGGGGGTGATTGCTAGCTTTTTAAAAAAAAATTGCCAAACTATTTTTCAGAGTGCCTGCACCATTTAACATTCTCGCCAACAATGTATGAGAGATTCAGTCTCTCCTCATCAGCATTTGGTATTGCCATGGTTTTAAATGCTATCTGTTCTAACGGATAATGCGTAGTATCTCCTGCTGGTGTTCATTTGCATTTCCCTAATTGCTACTGATGTTGATCATCTTTTCTTGTACTTAGATGCCATCCTCCTTGGTGAAATCCCTGTTCATTTGCCCATTTTCTAAATGGAATATTTGTGTTTCTTATGAGGAGTATGTCTTTACTTTTTTATTGAAGCATAACTAACATACAGTGTTATGTTAGTCTCAGGTATACAATATAATGATTCAACAATTCTCTACATTACCCAGTGCTCACCATGGTAAGTGAAGTCACCATCCGTCACCAAACAACGTTATTAAGATCTTACTGACTCTATTACCTATGCTGTACTGTTCGTCTCCATGAATTATTTATTCTGTAACTGGAAGTTTGTACCTCTTAGTCTCTCCTTTTTCTATTTCACCCACTTCTCCCCAACTCCCCTCTGGCAACCACAATTTGTTCTCTGTATCAAAGAGACGATTTTGTGTGTCTTTTTCTTTCTTTGTTCATTTGTTTGGTTTCTTTAATTGCACATATCAGTGAAATTGTATGGTACTTGTCTTTCTCCGACTTATTTCACTTAGCATAATACTCTTTAGGTCCATTCACGTAGTTGCAAATGGCAAGATCTCATTCCTTTTTACAACTGAGTACCATTCCATTGTGTATACATACATCACGTCTTTTTTCTCCATTCATCTATTGATGGACACTTGGGTTGCTTCCATATCTTGGCTAATGTAAATAAGGCTGCAGTAAACATAGATGCGCATACATCTTTTCAAATTGGGTTAATATCCAAAATATATTAAGAACTTCTACAACTCAACGCGCGCACACACACACACACACACACACACACACACACAATAATCCAATTAAAAATGGGCAGAAGACCCAAATAGACATTTTTCCAAAGAGGACACACAAATGCCCAACAGACACACGAAAACATGCTCAACATCACTCATCAGTAGGACAATGCAAATCAAAAACCACAAGGAGATATCACCTTACACCTGTGCACAACTAAAATCAAAAGGACAAGAAGCAGCAAGTGTTGGTGAGGATGTGGAGAAAAAGGAATCCTTGTACACCATTAGTGGGAATGCCACTATGATTCAGAAATGCCACTTCTGGGTATTTACTCAAAGATAATGGAATATTTTTAATTATTGAATTTTGAGAGTTGTTTATGTACTCTATTCGAGTTCTTTGTTGGCTATGCAATTGGCAAATAACATCTTTCAGTCTATGATCTCTTTTAATCCTTTCCATTTTTTTTTTATTCATTACCACACCTAGTTACGGTTTTCTTTTTTGACCTCTTTTGTGGTGGCAACATTTAAGATCTAGTCCATTGGCAAATTTGCAGTATATAATACAACAGTGTTAACCATAGTCATGTTGTTGTGCGACAGAGCTTCAGAATTACTCATCTCGCATAATTGAAATTCTGTACCTCCTGAAACCATCTCTCTACTTCCCCCCGCCACACAGTCTGACCACTGAGAGCCCACATGTAAATAAGATGGTGCGGTATTTTTCTTTTTTTCATCTGGCTTATTTCACTTAGCATGAGGTCTTCTGGGTTCATGCACGTTGTCAAAAAATGGCAGGACTTCCTTCCTTTTAAAAGGCTGATTATTGTGCTCGCTTCACCAGCACATGTATTAAAATTGGGACAATACAGAGATTAGCACAGCCCCTGCATGAGGATGACACACAAATTCATGAAGAAAAGTCTGATTATTATTCCACTTATATATACACACTTTCTTTAACCATTCTACTGTCAACATACATTTGGGTTATTTCCACACCTTGGAAATACTATTGTAAATACTGTCTATTGTAAATACTGTGAATAACATGGGAATGCAAATATCTCTTCAACAGAATGATTTCATTTCATCGAGCTCTATATCCCGCAGTGGGATTTCTGGATCGTATGAGAGTGCTATTTTTCATTTTTGGGGGGAGAAACTACCATACTGTTTTCCACAGTGGCTGCACAATATTTGACAATATCACCTTCTGTCTGTGAACGCAGGATATCTTTCCATTTATTTCTGTCTTCAATTTCTTTCTTTCTTTCATCACTTTGGCCCATGATTATAAGACGGCTACCTCTCCTCCAGCAACATGACGGTGCACCTAAACTATCATCCAGACACAACAGGCCGTGCTACGGAGCAAAGAGGCGGAAGTGTCCAGAGCACGCTCACTCCTCAGCAGATAGCACCAGGCACACGGAGTTCTCCAAGAATGACGGCATCCCTGTGGGGCCAAACTAACGACCCCGTTCTTGGAACATCGAGATCTAATCGTGCTGGTGACCCGCAGGCACACCCCAGGCTCTGTGGAACATCACACTGGGTCAGGT